CCCACCCACACACACAAAAAAAGCCTGATCACTTACTTTTTTTTGACAAGGTTGGCTAATGCTGCCATATGAGGACAATGGAAGCATATTTCTCACTTTGTTTCAGGATAGCTTTTTAATAAGCTGCTGGTATATCTTGCAAAACTTAGTCTGTGCTCCTCCCTAATTGCTTGGGTGTGATACTTAGGATGGGATCATCTGAGAGCTTTCACTCAAAACTGAATAATGGTCTTGTGTCCTTCCTCCGGTTGTAGCTATTCTCATTTAGTACTCAGTCATCTTCAAAAATTTACCTGATGCCTACTAGTCTGAGAACTACATTTACTAGTCACGATTAAGGCTACGATTTAGTCACAGGTATTTTTAGTAAAAGTCATGGACAGGTCACAGGCAATAAACAAAAACTCACGGCCTGTGACCTATCCATGACATACTATAAATACTCCCGACTAAATGGGGGGGTGGCACCCCAGGGGCTGTTGCTGCGGAGGAAAGTGCAGTGCTGCTGGAGCAGCTGCTGCTCCTGCTGTGGTGGGGATTGCTGCCAGGGGCCACCCACGCAGTGGCTACTCAGGTGGCCCCTGGAGCCAGCCGCAAGGGCCACTGCTCAGGTGGTGCCGGGGCCAACCACCCTGGCAGCTGCAGAAGTCATGGTGGTCAGGGAAAGTCATGGAATCTATGACTTCCGCGACCTCCATGACGAGACACGGAGGCCTAGTTATGATGGGAGAGGAAATAACTTGTTGTCAAGCCACCTAAATACACACCACGTGCAATCTAAAGGAATACGTTGTGTACTGTTGTGCCCTGTATTTAACTGTTACACATTTCCAACTTTCTAATATCTTAAAAATGCTATGCTATTCTAGCCTATCCCAGCAGCTTGTATGTGTGACTTTGCCACCAGATTCATGGTATCCAGTGCTGTTAACAGGTGGCTTCCCAGATCCAACACCTCCTAATAATCACGATAGTCTCCTTCCTTGAGGTAAAGCTATTGGACAAAGCAGAAGTTGAACCTACAGATAGCACTCCCAGTCTCAAAACAGAATTCAATCCCTACTATAAAAGAGGCATTCCTTTCAAAGCTACTATGCCTTCCACTTTGAGATATCCACTGTAACAGAGAGCAAAGCAACAGATCTAGGGTCATTGGATGGCTACAGTGTAGTCAGACAATCCCCAATTCTAAAATGATGGCTGACTTTCCCCCTCCACTATCTGTCTGATGGCCTGGTTCCCCAGAAACTGACTCTTAATCTCCGTTTTATCCAAATAAATAGCAGTCATGACTTTGCTGGGCCTTTTTTGTACCTGAACATGTCAGGACTCCAAAAGTTAAGATGATAATCCTGAAGTTCACCTTGATAACTTTCTTCAGGTCTGTCTCTGATCAACCTCATGAAAGACTATCTTCATCCTTGCTTTGGTACACTCAAGAAATTCCTCATGTTTTCCCATGGTCAAAATTACTCCCAGTATGTAGCTCTAGCTTTCAGCCTCATTAAATCAAACAATTAATAAAATCTTAGCTGCTGTATTTGTTGCTCTCAGAGAGAGATCCATGTTCACCCATTATTTGGTTTTTTTTTTATATAGATCTGTATCCACAAGAGTAATCTTAAGACAGTTGTCTCCAAAGTGGGGTGCATGTACCCCATGGGGTGCGCAAGAGGATCCTTCAGGGTGTGCGCCGCTTCGGCAATTCGGGCGCTTTTTTTTTTTTTTTTGTCGTCTTGGGGTGGCGCAGCAGGGTGTGTAAGCTCAAAAATTTTCTTACTGTTGAGGTGCGCAATCAAAGAAGTTTGGAGACCACTGATCTAAGACATGTGTTGCTATTTTCCCCCCACCCTCCCCGCCCCAGACTATGGATTCTTGATCAGTTTTTCAAGTTACCTTACATGTTTTCAAATAATTTAGGACCCTAGTTATCAGGCATTAGGTTGCATAGGATGCTCATCTTGGAGAGATGTCTCAAGATACTGTCAACAATTCATCAGCTATGCTTCCAACAATGATCCACAGTAAAAACCTAGAATCTCCTTTCCCCAGCTATTTGGGCTCGGCGCTCCTTCAGACTGTCAGCTGCTTCCTGCCCTTGGCTCATGTAACACGAAATAATTTTGCCCCATCAAGCCTTTGAAAAACCTCATTGTGGTGGATGAAAGTCTGAGGACATATGTCCGTGTAGTCCAGAAACCATTGTCACCCTAGAGAAGACTTCAGGAACCTCAGTTGCTAATGTGCTGAGCAATGAGATTCTGTGTGCAGAGGTACCAACACGCTAATCATGGTGAATACTATGATGGCATTGTGGATCACCAGATATGACTGCCTTATATAAGATAGGAAGATTCTCTTTTTTTAGTTGATGAAGAGAAGCCAAAGCTGGCTGGCTGATCAGACAGTAGGTGGACGAAGAGTGTGTGGAGCACTTTGAGATTCATGAAAGCAAGCAGGCCTAAGAAATTTTAATATCTAAAATCTGTTCCTGTCCCTCCTTACACAAGATCTAGGTGTATTGGCTCAGCAGTTGACTTTGAATTCATTTTCTCTTGTCACGTTCTGGGACGGGGAGGACAAGGAGGAGGATGGGTGTCTGGGCAAGTTTCTAGCATGAAAGCTCACAAAATAAAGCCCTTTCCAAAACATTAATGTAAACAAAAGATGGTTGCTTGAATGTTTATTCATGTGGGGCAAAATTGACACTAGTATAAAATGTTCAGATGGAATTGCAATTCAGGAGTAACTAACCAGCTCATGAATAAACTTTTTCACTATTTTTCCAGCTCCACTTTAGAGGCTGGGCTACATTTTATATACCAGCCTAGTAAAAATATCCTTGAGTTGAAAGTTTGGGACAGTAGTGTGCTCATTTGTTATTTTTACTGGTCACTTGAAAGCGTTCTTTTGAGGCTTACTTTAATAAAATGTAATGTTTAGATGTCTGTCATTATCTGAACATTTTGTTTGTCAGAATTTTAAATGTGAAATGGACAAGCTGTGCTTGCATTTTTTCGTTACTGCTTACACAAATGAAGAGTAAAACTTCTTGTCCAGAGACCCTATATTAACAGTATAAGTGAATGTTTATTGATGGACAACATGCAGGGACTTTTGTGATTGCATTCACACTCTTGCAGTGTGAGGTGAAACCCCGTCCCACAACTAAGGATAACCATCTAATATCTGGACATAATAAGGTTACCCTGCCCTATCTATCCTGTTATGAATAGGACCTGGAGACCTTAAGAGCTGTGAATCTCTATGCTAATGGTTTCTGTATACATTATTTTTTATTCTGTTTGAGGCCATTTAGCAGTACAGTATTTATAGATTTGGCCTGCTAAGAGATAAGGCTATCACACTGTTATCTTGATATCTGGAAGGGACTTGAGTATGCTTTTTGGCCTCTGTTCAGAAACCTGCTACAGAGCATAGGCAATGAATGCAAAGTGTTGATAATCCAAACTTGTTTCCTTAAGCAGTGGGGAAAATCACCAGGCCTAAGAAAATCTGGTCTGAGCCAGTCTTATGGGACTCTTGACACAGTTTATTTTTCTTCTGGTGTTTATAGTAACAGTTCTGCTACTGTTAGTCCTATTTTGTAAGAGGGAGTGCATGCAGTAGAAATGTCATGCCAAGCCGCTGCCTTCCTATCATACTGCTCTTCTTCAGGTTTCCTCAGTCTCTAAGGAGTTCTGCTGTGTTGTCCAGTATAATGCTCTGAAAAGAGATCCTGTCTGGTTTTTGTTTGTCTTATCGTTTATCTTCATTTTTTGTAGGCAACAGTGAAAATGGATTGATTAGTTCTAAGGTCAGTCAAAATATAACTAAATCCCAGTCTTTTCCTCTTATTACTATCGGCATAATCATCTTCAAGGTTTTAAAAACCACCAACAAAAAAACCCTCTGGTGGTAGTCAGAGGTAGACCTGAAAGATTGGATAGGGCAGGTGCACTCAGGAGCAATCTACATTCAGTTCACATTTGGAAGGCTTCTTTTATAACCAAAAGAGATGGAAACCTAAGCTTAATTTGTAAAATCATATAATATTAGGGTTGGAATGGACTTCAGGAGGTCATCTAGTCCCAACCCCCTGCTCAAAGCAGGACCAATCCCCAGACAGATCTTTGTCCCAGTTCCCTAAATGGCCCCCTCAAGGGTTGAACACTCAACCCTGGGTTTAGGAGGCCAATGCTCAAGCCACTGAGCTATCCCTCCCCCCTGGGAACTGATAGTTTAGCACCCAGTATGGAATGTTTCCCTCTGACTACTGGTGAGTGTCTTTTTTTTCTTTTTTTTTTCTAAACCTAGCTCTTTACATGTGTATTTTTTTTTAATTTTTTTTATTTTTATATATATAAAAAATATGTAACTTGGATGCTGACAGGCTTTTTCCAGTAAATATCTTCCACAGAAAAGGTTGGCTGCATCAGAAAAACCATTTCTGTTAATACTCAGCTTCTATTTGGACTGGCTTTGCAAAAGGTATGTCTTCAGAACTGAAACAGTTATAAAAGCAAGAACATACAGTAGCTATAAAACACTTTAAAATTTAATACAAAAGCATGTTTAGCAAGAATGTCGTAACCCAGTCCAACAAATAGGAAGAGTCAACTTCAAGAACAAAGTGTATAGTAGACAGAGGCTTCACACCAGGAACAGGAATTGCCTTCTATTAGCAGGGCCGCCAAGAGGGGGGGGGCAAGTGGGTAATTTGCCCTGGGCCCCGTGAGCCCTGGCTGAGAATCCCTTTCCTGGCTAGAGGTGCCTTTTTACTTACCTGGTGGCGGTCTGGGTCTTCGGCGGCATTTCGGTGATGGTGGGGCCCTTCAGTTGCTCTGGGCCTTCTGCGGCATTTCGATGGCGGGTCCTTCAGTGCTGCCGAAGACACGGAGCAACTGAAGGACCCGCTGCCGCAGACTCGGAGCGCCGCCAGGTCAGTATGTCCGCTCCCCCACTGCCCCAGGCCCCCTGATTCCTCTGGGCAGCCCTGTCTATGAGGAGATAACTGAGTCTGTGGATGAGGGGAAAGCAGTGGATGTTATTCCTTGACTTTAGCGAAGCTTTTGATACGGTCTCCCACAGTATTCTTGCCATCGAGTTAAAATAGTATGGGCTGGATGAATGGACTATAAGGTGGATAGAGAAAGCTGTCTAGATCGTTGGACTCAACGGGTAGTGATCAATGGCTCCATGTCTAATTGGCAGCCAGTATCAAGCAGAGTGCCCCAAGGGTCAGTCCTGGGGCCGGTTTTGTTCAATATCTTTATTAATGATCTGGAGGATGGCGTGGACTGAACTCTTAGCAAGTTTGCAGATGACACTAAACTGTGAGGAGTGGTAGATACGCTGGAGGGTAGGGATAGGATACAGAGGGACCTAGACAACTTAGAGGATTGGGCTAAAAGAAACCTGATGAGGTTCAACAAGAACAAGTGCAGAGTCCTGCACTTAGGACGGAAGAATCCCATGCACTGCTACAGACTAGGGACCAAATGGCTAGGCAGCAGTTCTGCAGAAAAGGACCTAGGGGTTACAGTGGACAAGAAGCTAGATATGAGTCAACAGTGTGTCCTTGTTGCCAAGAAGGCTAACAGCATTTTGGGTTGAATAAGTAGGGGCATTGCCAGCAGATCGAGGCACGTGATCATTCCCCTCTATTCGACATTGGTGAGGCCTCATCTGGAGTACCATGTCCAGTTTTGGGCCCCACGCTACAGAAAAGATGTGGAAAAATTGGAAAGAGTCCAGCGGAGGGCAACAAAAATGATTAGGGGCTGGAGCACATGACTTGTGAGGAGAGGCTGAGGGACCTGGGATTGTTTAGTCTGCAGAAGAGAAGAATGAGAGGGGATTTGATAGCTACTTTCAACTACCTGAAAGGGGGTTCCAAAGAGGATGGATCTAGACTGTTTTCAGTGGTACCAGAAGACAGAACAAGGAGTAATGGTCTCAAGTTGCAGTGGGGGGAGGTTTAGGTTGGATATTAGGAAAAACTTTTTCACTAGGAGGGTGGTGAAGCACTGGAATGGGTTACCTAGGGAGATGGTGGAATTTCCTTCCTTAGAGGTTTTTAAGGTCAGGCTTGACAAAGCCCTGGCTGGGATGATTTAGTTGGGAATTGGTCGTGCTTTGTGCAGGGGGTTGGACTAGATGACCTCCTGAGGTCCCTTTTAACCCTGATATTCTATGATTCTATAAACACAAGTTAAGGGAATGCTTTCAGGTAACTTAAGTCCCCCAGATCTAGCTTTTGGAAACAAACTTACAAAACTTAAACTATTTAAAAATAGTGAATTAAATATTTACATTCTAAACATTAGCACCTGAAAGTGAAATTTACTAGTCTTTTCATCCAAGCTCAGGGGGAATACAAAAAATATAAAGAGCATAATCAGCAAAATAAGTTAAATGTTTAAAGCTTTCAGTTTTAACTGGGAATTGTAAACATCTGTGGCTTTATGGGAACTTTTCGCCTCACACTGTCCCTTTAACTTTTAAATGTCCTTTATCTTTTAAAAAATTTTTTACAGCTCAGAATACACACAATAAATTCTGATCAGTTTCTCAACCTGTAACTGTTTAGAAAGTTCTGTTTGTGGATCTCAAAGCACTGCAGCTCTGGTGAGGTAGGTAAGAGTTACTGAGGACAGATTAGCAAACATGCACTGATACTCTGTCCAAAGTCTGTCAGTCTGTGGCAGATCTGGGAATAGGAACCAAATCTCTCAGCTTTAATCATGATCCTTCCTTCCTTCCTTCCTCTTTGCTACTTACGTTTTGTTCCTGCTTGCTATTTCACTTTTTTCTCACCCCTCTCAATTTTGTCCATTTATGTTTTGGAGACTTGTTCAGCTATCTATGGCATGGTTTGGTGGCTTCTTCAGATGGGTTGATACCTGTGAACAATCCAGGAGATTCCTTCAATGTCTCCAACAGATTAGACAGACTGGCATTTCACATCTTCTCTGCTTAAACAACTGTTTAAATTCCAAGTTGTATTTCTGACTCCAATTTGTTGAGCATTTTGCTTCCACCTAGGGTTACCTGTGAAACTTTCTTGTCCAACTGAAAAATAGTGGATTTTTTTGGGTGTGAAGTGGGAACAACTGGAAAAAGGTTTTTAAAGTTGAATCACATGTGATTCAACTTTCAATATATTTTTCAGACATAAAGGTACAATCAGTACAAATGAAAACCTTGCAATTCTGAAATAAAACAATACCCATGGTTTAGTCTCCTATAAGCAATATAGGCCTACTTATCTTCTCCCCCCCCCCTTTAGCAACTTGCTTGATTCTTCTTCCCCCCAGCCCACCTGATCCTGGCAACTCAACACCCCAAATGTGCTCCATCATAGAGTATGCAAGAGGTGGTGGACCTTATTGGCCTTGGGGGAGAAGAATCTGTGCAGACACAACTCCGATTCAGCAGAAGAAATGTAGACATCTATGAAAAGATTGACCAGGGCATGGAGGAGAAGGGCTACAGCAGGGACATGCAGTAGTGCAGTGTGAAAATAAAACATCAGCAACAGTACCAGAAGACAAGCGCGGCGAACAGTCAGTCTGGTTCTGTACCACAGACCTGCCGCTTCTACAATGAGCTGCATGCAATTCTCAAGAGCGATCCTGTCACTGCCCCCAAATGCAGCATGGATACATCCCAGAAGTCTGAGCCCCAGGCCACCTCAGGCAACAAGGACGAGGGCAGTCTGGAGGAGGAGAATGAGGGACAGGCGAGTGGTGGATCTATTCTCCCCAAGAGCCAGGAGCTATTTTTAACCCTGGACCTCAGCAGGTCACAGGACAGCGTGGTGGCCGAGCATGATTCTGGAGAAGGCACCTCTGATAAGTATGCAATTTTAATTAGACTGTAGGGATTATGTGCACTTTTATATTTTGTTTAATCTGAAGAATAAGTGAGGTGTAGTGGGTATCTGCTTTGTAGTGGCTGCTCCAACTATGTATAGGGTGCCCCCTGGAAAAGATTGTTTATCTGCACAGGGATGGCCATGGAATTATCCTTGGAGATCTCTCAGAAATTTTCACGGAGGTACTCTGCAATCCTTTGCAGAAAGTTTCTGGGGAGGGCTGCCATTTTTCTTCCACCACGGTAGGACACTTTCCCATGCTACTCCAGTATTAACTCTGCTGGCATCATTGCGTTACACAGCATAGCAGCATAAAGACCAAGTCTGTACACAGAGGCATGCAGCATCTACTCCCTTGCTGCCTCTGTTACCCTCAGGAGGTTGATATCACATAGGGTCACCTATGGGAAATGGAGGAAGCTTTCATTACAAGTGCTTGTCCTGCAAACAATAGAGCATGTGATCCACTGCCCATGGTGAGTTTCAGGACCCTCAACCATGCTTTCCCTAACATGCTGGTGATTTGGTTGGCAGGGATCAGCGTTGACCTCAGATTCTGCAAGTCCAGGGTGACTACTACCAGCAGCATTAAGGGGGTAGGGGGTGGGCTTCCTGTGGCCGCAACCCTCCCGGAGCTGCTCTGACAAAGACAGCAGCTTGGGAGGCTTAACGCTGGTCCCTGGTCTCATAGCAACGTCCATGTTGCTAGGCGGAGGGAGCATTGTCCACCTGTAGCAAACCCGTGTCAGGACTACAAGGTTCAGCACAAGGTCCGTCACCCATGTCGCGGGGCCATAGTCACAATGGCTGGAACAGCAAACCTGTTCACTGAATAGCTAGGGATTCTGCGTATGTTCGGCTTGCACTTCAATGTAATAAGGAGTGTGGTGTAGTGTTTTTTTTTTTTTTTTTTTTTTTTTAAATGACTAGCAGCCTTGCACCAGACTTGTGCTTTGCATGCCTTACGGAGGAAAGCTTGGCCTTTAGTGCATACACCACACTTGTGGCTAGGCTTTTGCAGATTAGAAGGTGGAAAAAGAGGACATGTGATGACATGTTCAGTGAGATAATGAATGCCTCTGGGGCAGCTGAGACAGAACTAAGAGCCTGGAGGATTTCATTGTCTGAAAACTGGACGTGGAGAGCATCCCGGGAGCATGAGCATGCCACGCACGATGAGATGCTGTGGATTATGAAGGACCAATTAAACATATTGAGGCATCTGGCTGAGCTTTAAGGAAAGTAGCTTGAGGCTAGACTCTGTCTGCAGCCCCTGCAGAACTGCCTGCAAGCATCGCCTGTTCTCAATCCCACTCCCCCAAATGTTCTGGGGGGAGCATTCAGTGTTCCTTCCACTCTGTACTGTGGGAGGATACCAAGAAGAAAGGGTGGCCATTCAATGATGTCTGATGGTAAAGACTACTGTACTTTCACAGGCAAGCTGACTTGGTTTCTCCCCTCCTAATTTTATTAGACTGTTTGCCCAAGATTAAATTATTTTCCTGTTTTCAGTGTGTGTGTGCACTAGAAGTAAATGTTTTGAGAATGAAATGCTCTTTATTCCAATCATGGGACTTAAGGGGAAGTACAGGGAAACTGATGCAATGGAAGGGATGGTATGGGAAGGCAGATCACTGAAACAGGTTTTCATTTTCTTCCATTTTCTCCTTGCTGGCCTCTTCTTATTGCCCTCGTATCAGGTTGGCAGCTAATTTTGAGCAGCCAATCTGCCTCCACCCCCCACCCTTGCAGAAACTTCTCTCCCTTTGCCTTACAGATAACAATGGGAATATTACTTTCACTGAGGTCTAACCTAGCAAGCAAACTCTGCCAGTGACTCTTAGAAAATGCTTTTGGATGTTTAATCACTATTCTGCACTTGCTCAGCCTATTGTTGAATCGCTCCTTACTGCTGTCCAGGTGGCCGCTGTACAGC